CCAATTGCACTTTGCCTTTTGAGCTTTTCTCACCTCTGGCACCCGCAAATGGCGGGGGCGCACCTGCGCGCGGTGTAGGGGGGCTTGCGCCCCTGCACCACAACCCTGTGGAAAGAGAGTAGCAGACACATTTGGCGGAACAGGGGAAACACCCCACCCCGAAAGGGGCCTCGCCGCTTGACAGACGCGAACCTTGCGTGTAGGCCTTCGGGCCAGGGAACCCCTTCGGGGGCCCACACCCCTCGAAAGCACGCAAGCCAGCAAGCGGGCGAGAGAAGTGGCATCGGTAGCACAGCGGGAGAGACAGCGAGATTGTGTGGGGCCTGTGGAGAGCCAATCACCTTAGTGTCTTCTGCAAGAGACCGAAGCGGTCATGAATGCAGGTGCTTGCGTGGGGTGTCGGGCGTTTGACCAAGTAAGCAAACACGCAAGCATGCAAGGGAGAGAATATCGATTCACCTCCCTTTGCCTTTATCCCGCTCATCGGGTGAGCCAGTGGCCCCAAGAGCCCCGGTTTGCGGAGCAGAAACACGGACGAACCATTGCATTTGGTGTCACGCTGAAAAGACCAAAACGGGCGTGCCAAGTACGCACCCTGTAAACATTGTGCCAAGACTCTAAGCATAGAGCAGGGTAGGGAGAGCGGTTGCCAGACTGAGGCCTTCCACGCCACTTCCGGCTCCGCAGCCCATACCCGATGGTTACAACGTATCTAGCTGAGCCCAGCTGAGCTTCGCCATGTCACTTTGTCAGAGACCTCAGCACCACTGAAAGGTGGCCCCGCCGCCGGCCAGACCACTTCTGCTCTTCATCACGAACGTCAAGAATGCAAGAACTGTTTGGGTCGGTGACTCAAGGAGGGTTTTGCTGCGCCAGCCCGGGGCCATCAACTTTGCAGCGCCTGAAGGTGGAGATCTCCATCAATGACAACGTACACATGCTGAAAAGATATACCTCCAGAAAGATGTTGATCCCAGCGACAAGCTTAGGCGCAGCCGTCCGGATAGGTTTAGGGGAAACGAACTGCTGTTCTCATGCAGACCCAGGTTGAAGACATGATCCTTGTGTACCAAGGCCACTCTTCAACTCTACATCACAGCAATACATTCCATAGATGCTGCGCTGTGCAAGGAGAAGAGCTCAAAAACGACACTCAGATCAAGCAAAGCTGCTTCGCTCAATGTAGTGGAGGCCATCGGTAGGCTACCAGTCTGGCTACAAGCTTGCGTTAAGGTAAGCTTGATTTTGTCATCCAGAAGGCCAGAGCCACAGATTGTCGGCGAAGCGTCAAGTGGTTGGTTGCGGCATGCAGGCTGCAGAAGGTGAGCCATCTGCAGAAGACTGCACCATACACTTGATTGACATAAAGGCAGGGGCATCAGGATCTTCGAGATGCATGCACTGGCGAACGCCTGACCTGACAGGACACGCCGGCCGAAATACGCGAGCCTAAGCAGACCATGGACGGAACCCAAGCGTCCTTTTGATGCCCGAAGTGTGCCACGAGCTTGGATTTGTCGGCTCTGGCTTCAGAGCCGGCTTAACAGAAGCCAGCCGGGAGGCATCCCATGTCTCACAAGATTTCACGCAGCTCTTGCAAAATGCGAGAGCTGTCCTGTGGTAGTGCCCATGCAAGAGAGTAGGAAGCTCCGAGACAGTGATGAGTTATGCCGACATTCACAGAAAGGCTTTCCATGCAGAGTCCCTTCAGACTTGTGCTGCTGTCATGGCGGTTCCCAAAGCATCTTTTGAATCTTGAGCCTCTCCAGATACAGGCTGAACAGGGAGTTCCGGAGCACAGACTCGGACCTTGCCAAGCCGTACCTCGACTCTCACCGTTGCGCTTGCATGGAGGAGAAGCCGCCAGGCACCATCAAGGAGCATGCCTTCTAAAGGCTGTCTGGCTCGGAGGCATCCTACAACAATGACAAGCAAAGATCTGACGTCGGCCGTGCATAGAAGTAAAGCAGGGCCTGCAGACAGCAGTGTCCTACGCACAAGGAACAACAACCAGACTGAGGACGGATGAGCGCTTCTGGATTCCAAGCTTAAACTATGTCGAGTACTCGATAGGTCAGGTAGAAGAAGTCGTGCCAAGCCAGGGTTGCAATGCATCAAAGTCTGTCTTAGAAAAGAAACAACACAAGCAGCACTTGAGGCACGTTGGTTTGTCTACTGCATGCTTTTCATGGGTTTTTCAAAGTCGGTAAAAGTGAGGAACAGCTTGCGATGGGATGCCGCTCTTCCAAGAGGTGTTGCTGCGTGAGTTCTTCCTGCGAGGGGCAAATTGCACCTCAGCTGAAAGATATTCTGCGGCACACGGACAGCAGCACGTCCCAGTCGAAGCTGCCAGGAGAATGGTCCCGCTGACACTCCAGGGGCATCTTTTCGCTCCACTCGCTATGCTTTGACCTTAGTGTTTCATTCAGTTCGGAGATGGCAGTAGTCAAACCTGGGGCGGGTGCCAGTGCCGAGAGCAACGGTTGAAATCATGTCCTGGCTGTCGTAGCCCGCCGTGCGCACTGTCAGGCGCGCTAGCTCAGTGACTCTGTGCTTGGCCAGGTCCTGAATCGTGAGACAGGCAAAGTCTTCGAAGAAGTCATTCCCGGCCCAGTATGGTCCATTCTGAAAGGACTGTGGCTTGGTCTCAATTTGCAAGCTCGCCCTCTTGACTAGTCTGTTTTCCTAGAGCATGTATCGTGGCAGAGAGGTTCATTCACACCCAGTTCCTTCTGCAACGGTTGAAGGTATGCGACCACAGCGTGCGGCATAGTTCCAGCCCATCCTCTCAGATGCTGTCTTCGGAGGCATGACGACTCAGAATGCCAATGAGAGCTGAGTGATGGACCTCAACTTGAAGTGGCAGGCTGACACAACATGCGGGTCGCAAGATGCGCTCGGCATCTAGCAAAAAGGACTGCAACCTCGTGCATGGTGGCGTACTTCATAAAGTCGTCAAGATCTTGGGATATCTTGGGATGCTTCATGCCTCAGGATGTCCGGAAGTTTGTTGATGTTTACAGCATTGACATGGAGGAGGCAGGCTACATGGTCCCATGTAGCAAGATCGAGCACCATTCGAGACCGCAGTTCTTACTTGCGGTGTTGTCAGCAAGTCGACCCTCAACTCCGACTCTACGCCTCAGTTTTTCGCACTTTGGGATATATTTCATGTGCCGGCCGTGTGGAATCTGTATGAGTAGAGGCTAGAGAACATAGTCCTAGCACTCGCAGGGTGAGGTGCCACGGAGCCCAAAGTACCGGAAGTCGTCTTTTGTGAGATGGGTTCAAGATTCCCGGTTAGGGAACTGACCTGGCAGCGAGAACAAGTAGGTGGGCACATGCCGATCCCAGAGTCGACAGGGCTGCGTCGTTGACCGGGACTCCCAATAACATGTAGAGCCGAGACTGTCGAGAGACGGGATTGTGCCGAGTCCAAGCTTTCCGGATTGATGGGCAGTGATCGGCAAGCGGACTTCCAAAGCTCGCCCATCTTCGACTAAAGCTTTGCAGGGTGAAGGGGCGCAGGCTACGGGAAGACGGATCGGGGGCTGTCGGGACCTACGCTGAGAGATTCACCTTGTCTATCGGGCTTGCAGGTGTTACTTCCACTGAGCGAGTTCCGCACGATGAATGTCAGATTCTCAGACTTTGCGTACCTTCAGACATCAGACCATTGACTCTCAGCCCACTGTGGGCCCCCGATGGCGTGTCCGGGACTTCAGGACTTCTTTACCCGCGAGCTCAAACCAGGAGCACGACCCGTTGACTGCCCCGAGGAGGGGAGCATGACAAGTTGGCTAGATCATGCCAAATGAGAGTTTCCGAAAATTAGGGGTACCTTATTTTGGGTCCCTTATAATAAGGATCCTGACTATATAGGGTACTATAACTCCCAAATATGGTGACGTGAACCATCTTGGTGCCTCGGTGGAGCTTGGAAATGATACCGCCTGCCACCCCATGCCAGGATGCAACCGTTTTTGTCAGCAGCGCAGACTGCCGAGCTATCGTTTTCCCAAACTTTGAAGAGGCGGCACGCGTTTGGATCAAGGCGACCTCCTCAGTACCAACAACAGCCATTTCATTGCAGGAGCTTGCGAGAGCATATGTTGTTCAGTGTGCAGCCAAGGGATACAAGTTCTCAGTGGCAGGACCCGGATTGAAGATTGCGAGATTGCTGCTACTGGACATGGACAAACCCCGAATGAACGTTGTAGCTGGTACAATCCTGCAGCGGAATGCCGGGCTTGCACCTCCGGCTCTAGCTTGCCACTTTGTTTGCACACGACGCTCATGAAGCCCGGAAGCTGTCTTTCGACACGGCGTCGAAGTGACGACGGCGCAGCAGCATGCAGTCCGGCCTTCGACGATTTGCGGGCTCCGTTCGTCGGAAGTCGGAAGATCGAAGGACAAAACCCGAACAGAATGAGGGAGGAAAGCTGCAGGGCTCTGTAATGTCGACACGCAACTAGCGCATGGCCAGGGAGGAGTGCAATCAGAAACGCACGTGTGAAACTCACCAGCTACTGGGTCAGGACCACCTGAGCCCAGGAGAAGATCAGTGAAACTGCCCCAACCTGGAAACGGCTTTGCGAAGCAAACTGCTGAAAATGCCTCTCCTCGCTCCAAAACCATCAGACGCGAGCAAGAGCCTCTCTTTGTGACAGAACTCCTTGGAAACTCCGCTGCGGCGGAGCCTTTCCTGCGGAAGTCAGGCCGGACGCAGCATCTTTGGGAGCAGGGGGCGCCTGAAGTTCCTGTGCTTCCCAGAGCCCGTTGTTATGGGCTCATCATTGCAGGCTGTTCCGTGGCTGTTCTCCGCCTAGCACCGCAGGACACTTCCATGGTTCAGCTACTTCATCTGTGTAACTCCCTGCAATGCATCAAGCGCATCGCCTTGCAAGAGGATTACCATCGCTTCCACTTTCCCTGCGGCCCGGGCCAGGCACTGCGAGAAAGCAGGGCTTAGGGCTTTGGAGTTGCACAAAACGCACCTGCTGCGAGGTGTTGAGCCAGAAATGTTTATCCGGGGAGTATTACTCAGTGAACCCCGTGGCCATCAACAACTCCAGTGTGGACGTCCTCACTGAGAACTGTAGATCTGTGTCGCGGCCATTCATAGTGGGGCTTCGCTCAAGTTAAGCCCGGCCTACTTTGCACTCGTGCTTGTCTGCCGGCAACGGTATCCATTTCAAGCAGCAGACCTTTTCTCCGACACTGAGAGCACCACCACGTCGCCTACAGCACATGCACAGATGACATTTCAGTCGAAAGGTTGCGAAACTAGAACTAGAGGGCCTCGGAAGCCAACAGCTGGAATGAAGCATTAGATGTGTCAGGCGCTGGATCCCCTTTTCCAGTGCCTGAGGTGAGCATTTTGCAGCACGCTGGGTTTGGCCTGGTCGCCTTCGTAGCCGTGGGTGCCACTCTGGTGGGCTCTGTCGAACTTCTGCGAAAGGACCCATGCAAAGAAGTCTGAAGCATCTGGGGTGCGGAGCCTTGTAAATTGCAGGAAGGCTCAGATTTCCAAAAGGGAGATTGCTATGGGTATTTCCAGTGACTCGATCGCAAACTTTTCCTCTTGGAACGTTGCTACTCGTACTAAACCCTCGACTTGGACCGACCTCATATCATGCCTGTATTCAAAAAACCTGCCGCTGAGGTATGGAGGGTCCACCTGAAGCTCGGCTCGGTTTCCAGCAACACCTAAAACCGCTTGCCCGGATATGCTTTCTCTCATGAAGACAGCTCCAGTTTCGAGAATCTGTGAAAGCTGCTTGAACAAGGTGTCCTATTGACGGAGCCGGGAGCTATTCACTGGGACAAGGACCACAATGGCTCTATCTGCAAAATCAGCACACAGGTGCACATGGTTCCCTCACAAATGGGTGACATGGAGTTGAGATTGGATTCCGCAAACCCACCTGCAAAAAGGCTGGGTTTCATGAACTCAGTTCTACATGTTATGCATGCCAGACACAGACCCACGACCCCACTCCGACATTCACATGGAACCCATCTCAAGCTCACCCTGTCTACAAGAAGCATAGGTACAGTACTAGCCAGACGGAAGATCCTCCATAGCATATCTGCCTGTGCTGTGCTGCCAAGACCACGTGAAGAATTCATGAGGCTGTGTTGATGCGTGGTGCCAAGACATGCCACTAAGAGCATAGCTAGTGACAGCAGGTGATACTAATGCCCGCCAAGCTTGGGCAGTAGTGCATGTGGAAGTATCCACACAGTGCAGAGCAGAGCATAGACAAGCTGCGCCAGCCTTGCACGTGCAATACGTGCACACATCATTGCCGATCATGTTCTCGTGCATACTTTGCAAATCAGTTCCAGGACCTTCTGGACGCCTCCGCCCGCGGACTCGAGACCCTAGGCTTAGCAGCGTGTTGAAGCACGAGCTCTGTTGCGGCACCACTCGCAAATGCAGTTGGGTTTTGAGCCAAATGCTGCACGTCTGGCCGAGGACCTTCGTGAGGATGGGAGAAAGGATGGGTACGTGCGCAAACTGACTGAATTTGTCACAAAGTGGCATCGATGCACAAGCACCTGCCTCCATCTTGCATTTTCCACACTTCGCGACTCTGTCGGCCCAGTGGCCGAAGCCAAAATTTGATTTAACTATTTGCCGTCGGTCTGCATGTTTGTTTCCTGCTGAGTTTCCCAAGATGACCCTAGGCCACAGCATCTGTAGTGGGTTTTGAATATGATTCGCCTTCATCCCTTGCGAATCGCTACTGCGTATCCCGGTGCATAACATGCGTCTTATCTACTCGGTCGCTTCTGCAACAGAGTATGACGGTAAATCGGGCTGGAACAGATCAGAGGAAGATAGAGGAAGCATGTTGGTATTTGCAGAATCGACCTCCGCTGGAGCTTCCACTAGCGAAACATGTAGAGGCTGTCCCGCGGCTGCTTGCAGCAGGAGCGTGCGCAAACTAGCTGCGTAACTCCTGCCGCCTCGTAAGCCAGCTGCAACATGTTCTGGCAGCTACCAGCAATCACAAGCATAGCTGGCTGAGTGTGCAAAGTGCATCAGCGAAGGCTTCATAGCTCGACAAGGCCAATACGGGCTCAATAGTAGTTTGATAACAAGATAGCCTTCAAACCTTGAGTCGCATTCCCTTTGCACCATGCTCTTGACAAAATCAGCACACCTTCTTCACCACGAAAGTGGGCATGCATTTATTCAATTCTAGACTTTTCGTTTGCCTTCAATGTGGAGGCAGTGTTCTTGTCCCGAAGTTTTACACCCGGGGGCGCTTGCCAAGTTCTTGCCGCAGGAAGGTAACACTTCATGCGGCGGTGCAGCAAAGCCAGATCTAAAGGAAGAGCTGCCGTGCTGCGCAAGTTGTTGAGCATGTGTTTGGGGTGTGTATATATGTGCGCGTGTGTCTCTGTGTGTGTGTGGTGTCCTGAACAAAGCTCCTAAATGCACGTCGCCACATCGGCCACAAGACCGTCGTTGCCTCCAACCCGTCCTCTTGCCCAAGATGCCCCCCAAGAAGAAGGTGGAGGAGGAAGCGTTCAGAGTGTGGAAGCTGTCTCGAGCTTGCCATGTCCGTTTCCCTGGTGCAGGAGGCCGTCGGCCCATGGATGCTGGGTCGATGGTCCCGGGCGCTCAAAGTTGGTCTGGTAGGAATGCCGAAGCTTGCTTGTAACCATGGCAGCGGACTCGGATACTTGTGGCGGTTTGGCTGAATCTGCTGAGGAACGTCGGGAAGAGCACACTCTACAATACCTTGAGCGACTGGGCCTAGCTGATCTGCCGGGGTTTCAACATCGCTACATCGGACTCGATTTGCCCGCGAGCTCGTCACTCCTTGAACGCATGATCGTCTCGTCAACCGTTTGGTGCAACCTCGTGTAATGAAGTATGCTCCCGTCGCCTCAAACGGCTCGTGCACGTGATGCGGAGGCAAGTCTCATCACTCGAAGACAGCCAACGCTGGGATCTTGGCGGGGTCTATTCCAGCAGACAAGCTCTAACGCAATGCCGACATAGACCCTCAAAGTAAATACGAGGATCTTCCCAGTTGCTAGCAATACTACCATCAAGCAGCTCTCCTTTGCTGTGCACCTTATGCGAGCCCGGATCGAAGGTGCCGTTCTGCACGATTGATCCAACAGAGACCCGGGCCTTCTTGGAGGATGACAGATTTGATTGGCTCGTCGCGCAGCACAAGCCCAAAAACGAAGTGAAGGCCGGGGAATGGCAACGACAAATTCACGACGAAACATGTGAATTCATTTCGACTATGGTTCATAAGCCTGTAGGCTTTCACGCGATGTTTGTTCCAATTCAGCAGGTCTCAGATTTTTCGCTATGCTTCAGCAACGAAGCAACGTTTGCGGTCTAGTCCACGCCCCTGCGCCCTAGTTCGTTTCCCCCCATCATCGATCTGCAAGGAAACCACCTTGTTTGACCGTGCCTACAGTTTGTGCCTTTGTGATGTGAATATCCTGCTATCACGTCGATTCATGGTGCTCCCGCTGACGCAAGTACAAGCTGTGCTCTTTGAATGCTTTTGCTGGCAGAGGCGTATGTCACAGTGGTGGATATTGCCGGCCTGATTTCCGGAGCCCACAAAGGCCTGCCGGCAGATCCGACCCCTGGTCTTGTAGGCCTATGCCATGCGTTGCGAAGTACTGCAGCATCTCTCAGGTGAAGGTTTGGGAAACGCCTTCCTTTCACACATTCAATCTGTGGAACCTTGGCCGCATGTTGCAGGTAACAGCTAGGAGGGCGCTGCAGGGTCGGAGCCCCGATCATCCTTGCGACACAAAGCTTGCCCAGGATGGTATTGTGCACGTCATGCGTGCGTTCGAAGATGACGATGTCATCCATGCAGAGGATACAGTAGATCCTGCCAGACACCCGGAGGTGCAATAAATCATGAAAACAACTACACTCTTGGGAAATAAGGTGCGCGACATCAACACCATCTGCAGTGAGCTGCGCTTGAAAGACATCAGCTATATGAAGGGCAAGGCCCTGATGCATTCCATGTCAATGTGGTTAAGATCACCGCATACCGATCGTAATTTGCACACCTGCCTGATGTTTTCCGTGATTTTGCATGCGTTTGTCTGTGGACTTTCTCACGAGGCGTTGATCCCGGAGTTGAGGCAGTGGGCAGGCACTCCCCCACTAAACCTTGTGCAGGTCGAAATGCACAAGAAAGGCCACGCAGCAGCTAGAACCAAGTCGCCTGCGCACCTCAAGATTCATGGCTGACAAACCACTCATGCACGAGACTCCGACTTCTCCCGGTTTCTGTTCTCGAGCACCTGTAAGGAAGTGGGAAGAAGAGCTGGAAACTATGGAGAAAGTAATTTCTTGGATGGAGGATGGGAAGGCTGGCTTCTAATTCTGGGTTTACAGCAAGCAAGATGTCCAGGCAAGCTACGTCCGTGTGAGCACTTGTGGATGATTTGCTTGCCCCAGGATGTCAAGACACTCGGTGATGATATTTGGCGTTCTCGCAATGTACCGGACGTGCCCACGGTACCAGTCGTGGAACAGCAAGTAGCCTAGCTTGTCCGGCTTGGCTGTGAAAATCTTGAGGAACGGGATGGACAAGTGGTCGACTAAAGCTGCTTGCCCGTCACTTCGAACGTGAATCCTCTTTTGAAATTCCGCCTCTTTCTCCAATTGTTGGTTCCGAGGATATTGAGTACATCAACGACTACGGCCTGCTCACTGCAAAGCCCTGTATGTACGCAATCAACATGAACAAGATACTCGTCCTGAAATGTGCATGCTGGACAAATGTGAGCGTTACCCTCCATTCATGTCATGTCTGCACGGAGGAAAGACTTCTGCCGAAAAAAGCAGCTTGGACATATGCATTTTGTGCATCGAGAAGGGCTTTTGGTACATGGTGCTTGCCACTGCGAGCTGAGGAACAAGTTCTTGAAGCCCATCTATGATTGGGTGCAAGCCAACTCTCCCGGCAGTGCCATGATTCCCTATTGAATCTCGGCAGCAACGCACCAGGCAGCCAAGAGAGCCGAGCCGAACATCTCTAAGGCGGAGCTTATGAGGAGGAGCTCCAGGACATGGAGACGGAGGAAGAACGGCAGAAGCAGCTTACGGAGGATGGCTGCTCGCCCCGGGTTAAAGGAGGCAGATCTTCACTTCTTGGCCTGCCAAGCTGAGGCGTCACTAGTGCCATGCCGAAAATGATCACGACCGCCTTCCATATGGCACCTCGGATGCCGAAAGTGTGCAAACGTCATGCCATCGAGTAGTGCGAGTTCAAGCCTATCTTGGTTGCTGCTTGCCATGAGAGGTGCATCTGATCAACTTCTTCACAGCAGGGCCTGATGAAGTGAAGGCTTGGACCGTCCGGAAAGGATACAAGGTGCCCCGATGCAGAAACCACAGAAAGCACTCGTTGCTGTCCCAGAAGTATCCTCAGGCGCCCCAAGCGGCCGGAGTTATTCACACCGATTTTGAGAAAGGCGCAACACGGTGAAGGGCTTTTGTGCCTCAGTTCTCTGCACCCTTCGTGGCCAGGCTTCATTATGGCAGAGGTCATGGCCTACACTGACCTCAAAGAGCTCGGCAATGAAGCAGCTGTCAAGGCCAAGCTAAAGGGCACAGTATCACTTCTGGGCCGGCTTTTCGATGCGCAACTTTTCCCGTGACATGGCTGCCACGCGGTGCGTTTCACAGGCAGCCGGCAAGTACCGGCAGGAGGGCAAGGGCTACGAGGCAGGCGAAGCCTGAGGCTGTCCACATCTTAGCTGGGCAACTGCACAGGTTCAAGACGGAGACGTCATTTTCTTCAAGTTCAACCTGGGCAAGGGGAAGTGAGAGGGCGGAGCGGAGTAAGCCCTGTAGTCTCTGGCGGCTTTCTCGATATGGCAGTGCCAAGCGCCGGCAGTTACTGATGCAGGCCACGTAGAACGGCGTGAGTCTACCTTCTCTTTCTAGTCTCCTTGGGCCATGCTTTAAGAATGGTTCCAAGATCTGTACAGTTTTGCTCCAAAGCAAGACGCTTTGAAAAGGAGAAGGCCTGCATGGTGTGGAATGTGTAGGTGGCATACTTGGACAGCAGAAAAGTCCGCCTGCAATTCTTGTCTTCGGCTATCGGTTCTGACTGGAATCAGGGATGTATGCTTTCATTCCTTGAATCCCCTTGATCAAGTCCGCCGACAGTTGGGAGTTGATGGTTTTGTTAGACCTGAGTGCTGTGGTTGGTTGTTATCACGACTGACAGGATCTGGCAATTGTTCATCCCACCCGATTGTGAGAAGGTGTAAACTGTCTTCCTGTGAAGGCAGCACCTCGGCATGTTGGAGGTTCGACCATGTCGTTCTCGGGGTTGCATCT